GACGAGTCTTGTTGGCCCATGGCCTATGTCCCTGAATGGTACTACCTAGTTTGTCCGCTAGTGTTTATGGTATTACGGTTAAACATTTAAGTCTCTAAATCCATCTGAATTAATTTCATATGTAACAAACCTGCACGTTATGCACATGTACCCTAGAACTTAAAGTATAGTAATAATAAAAAATAAATAAATAAATAAAAAGAAAAAGACACATGCACATGTATTTTGATAGCAGCACAATTTGCAACTGCAAAAATATGGACTGCCCATCAGTGAATGCGTAGATAAAGAAAGTTTGAAATATATACACCATGGAATACTGCTGAGCCATAAAACAGAATGAAATAATGGCCTTTGCAGCAACTTGGATGAAGCTGGATGCCATTATTCTAAGTGAAGTAACCCAGGAATGGAAAATCAAATATCATATGTTCTCACTTATAGGTGGGAGCTAAGCTATGAGGATTTTATATGTATTTATACACATACACACACACACATACACATACATACACACATACATATAAGTTAAACTGAGAAAATTCGCTGTGCCTGTAAAGGGTATGCTATTCAGCCATTTAAAAAACAACAAAAAACTAAGAAGATACATATCCTGTAGACATAATGGGTTTCTTCAGTAACTAAGCCTCTATTAATAAACATGTTATATAAAATATTGTATTTTATACATTTAAAATACGTTTGTGGAAAAACGTAAGAGATTATGAAGTGCATATATTCCTATAGTAAATTAAGTCCTGATTAGCTGATTATTAAAGCATTATCTGATTTACATTCCCACAGTCTTATGGTTATATGAATAGAAAATTAATGTTAGAAGTAGTTTCAGTGGGGTTTTCAGTTAAACAAATGAGAAAACCACATATCTGCTTATATCCTAACTGCTTTCCATACCAGAGGACATCAAGCATTTGTTGACTTATACAATGGATAAAACATTAAAACTTTAAAACCAAGAAACATAATGTGTTGTTGAGGTATTAATTGTTTTTATACAATTAAGTCTTCACAAGGATTACTATGAAAGTGGTAAGATTACTCTAGTTTTATATTTATTTAAACATTTGACAAAGTGCTGCATACAGTGGCTCATGTCTGTAATACCAGCACTTTGGGAGGCCAAGGTGGGAGTATCACTTAATCACAGGAGTTTAACACCAGCCTGGGCAACAAGTGAGACCCTGTCTCTACAAAAAGAATTTTTAAAAAGTGGCATGAACATGTAGTCCCAGCTACTTGAAAGGCTAGGATCATGCCACTGCACTTTAGCCTGAGTGACAGAGCAAGACTCTGTCTCAAAACAAACAAATAAACAAAAATCTTTGGCCAGGACAGCTGAATAATCATGTGGCAGAGGGCTGCTCCCAGCCTGTTCCCCTCACTGCATTCAACTCATCCCCACATTCTGTTCTGGCCAGGGGTGACAGATGCAGAGCACATTGGGGTTTCATTTCCAACTTAGAGGAAACACTGTGTAAGGCCAGCAGCCTACAAAAAGGTATGTCATAAAATAGGTTTAGTCTAGCCAAGGTGTTTCTCTTTGATCTTTCTACCATCTGAAGTGTAAAGAGTATTCCTGCCCCATAATAGTGACAGCTAATAAATGGCATCCGTCATTTCTGTCATCTGATCACTATTGCGACGCCTTGGGAGTGAGCATGGAGTTTGAGTTGTGCAATGGAACCCTAAAAAATGGGCCCTGAGTCAGCTGCACAAGTGCAGAGAAGCCTGTCGCCTTTCTCCTCATCCCAAACTTGGGGTGCTAGATGCAGAATGGACTGCAAGCAGCTGTGCCCTGTTTGGATATTAGTGTAGGAATCCACCTGCATAGCCTGTATTTGTTTCAAAAAAGAATTTGGAGCTATTCTAGTAGCTCAGTGTGATATTTTTAAATAAACAGAGAAAAATTTTATTAACTGACTTAACCAAAAAATACTGCCTATTAAATTCATTTGATATTGCTTAAGGAGTATCTACAAAATCCTGACCTCAAGTGTTTTCTTGCAAAAGAAGTGAAAGTAAGGACAGAGACCCTTTCAAATGAAGAATCACTAAGAAACAAAATATTTATAAGCAGTATAACATTTACTTATGCACATTTTTTAAGGTTATACCATAGTCAATTTGCATCAGGTCTGATATTTTTAAATAAACGGAGAAAAATTTTATTAACTGACTTAACAAAAAAAACCTGCCTATTCAATTCATTTAATATTGTTTAAGGAGTATCTACAAAATTCTGACCTCAGTGTTGTCTTGCAAAACAAGTGGAAGTAAGGACAGAGACCCTTTCAAATGAAGAATCACTGAGAAACAAAATATTTATAAGTAGTATAACATTTACTTATGCACAGTTTTAAAGATTATATCATAATCAATTTGCATCAGGCTCTCCAACTTAGGAACACTGAGAGGATTTCCCTGTAGGGGAAGTTTTCATTTAAATGTTGAAGAAATTGTTAAAACTGAAAACTTTTCCGTATTTGATAACCTACTGGGGTGCCAATCCAGTGTGCTGTCTTATATTTATAAGGTCTATCTCCAGTCTGTGTTATCATGGGTCTTGGAGCAAGTATCATGTAAATGAAGGCATTTCCACATTCTATACATTCATAGATTTTATTTCAGAAATGAGTTCTTATCTTCATGTGGAACTGGAACAATTGAAGACCTTACCACGGATGTTTGTATTTATAAGGGTTTTCTCCATTGAATCCTTTCATGTTTTTAAAGAAATGAAAAAGCTGAAGGATTTACCATGTTTCTTAAGATTATGTCATTTTTCTCCATATTAAATTCGAATATGTCTTTGAAAGCACATGGGAAAATCAAGTTTATTAACACAGTTTTTACATTCACGTTATTTTTGTTTTTCTAAGTTTTCAGAGAGAACTGGGAAAGTTGCATGCTTTCTTGTATTTCTTCGATAGTAGGGTTCTGTACAGTGTGAGTTCTTACACGTGTTCTAATAAACTAGAGCACATGGTGATTTTACCACATTTCTTAACATGAAATAATGTTTTTGAACTAACATTGTCCTGAGTTGGTTTTGTTGTGTTTCTCCTTCCCCAGGAATGAGTTGGAAAGGCAATTCTTGAAGCTAATTAATTATAATATCAGCATTACTGGCAGTCTTATAGCAGATTCTACTTCAATATTCGCACCTTGGCACACGACAACAGCCTGTATTCTCCAGTTTATCTTCTTGACAGAGAAAGAGCATGAAAGCTGGAGGTAAGGCTATGAAGTTACTAAGTGGGTTTTCAGTCAAACACCAATGCCAACATCTGTGACTAGGTCATATTAAGTAGTGATTAGAAAAATGGAAAGCTTCAAAATTAACTAACATACTGAAGAGCTTATTGCCTTTTTGGCATTATATTTCCTGTATCTTTTATGGTTTTTACAAGGATCCACATTATTGGAAAATTACAGATATTATCTTCTCTTTTGTGACCATAATTCAGAATATTTTAATCAAATTTAGTTCATGTGTAATCTTTCCCTTGTGAACCTTTACCTTTTCAAATAATCATACATAAATGATTTCTTGTTACTGTATTCTGAGCAATGTCTACATACATAATGCACTTACCACTCGACTATTTTTTATTATTCAGTTTGCAAATTTATGTCATTTTCTACTGTACATACCACAGTGCAGTCAGTCCCATGGGTTTGTTAGACAAAGCATTAGTGCCTAAGCCGAGAGACCTGCACTTAGACTGTATAAGGTGTGTGTGTCTCAAGTACTGGATGCAGAAAGTTCATGGGATTTTACTGGAAATGATAAAATTTATGGGACAAAGTAATATTTGTGGTTTGTGACTTTTGGTAAGTACACATCAAAGTTACAGCTGACAAGGATGAACATTTAAAATAGGCATATTCTGTGGTACCTTGGAATTATTTTAAAATAATATGTTTTCTATCATAATTAATGTGCAAGTGAGGTAGTGCCTTTTGATGCTTTAGTCTTTAGACTTCTTTGATATTCCAATACAATCCAGCACATGCCTGCATCGTTAAAATTTGCTTTGAATTATATAATAACTGCTATAGATTGGGTAGAGTTTGAATAGATTAATAAACTAGGTTTTTGCAAAAATGTACATTCATCATGTTTAAGGAACAAGTACACAGGTAACAGATGATACTGCTGTTAGAAGCCTGTCACAATACTGTGACGTCTTTGGGAGCCCAATTTTTAAGTAACTTAATAAAACAAGTTCCCCTTTGCTCCAGCAATCTAATTCTAGCCCTGAAAGGAGATTACGGTAGTGAGTTGACAGAACTTGGCAGTGTAAACATCAGCCAAGTAGCTATAACTGGGCCGGGCGCTGTGGCTCATGCCTCTAATTCCAGCACTTTGGGAGGCCAAGGTGGGTGGATCACAAGGTCAGGAATTCAAGACCAACCTGGCCAAGATGGTGAAACCCCGTTGCTACTAAAAATATGAAAATTAGCTTGGCATGGGTGCCTGTAATCCCAGCTACTCGGGAGACTGAGGCAGAGAATTGCCTGAACTTGGGAGGCAGAGGTTGCAGTGGGCCAAGATTGTGCCATTGCACTCCAGCCTGGGCGACAGAGCAAGACTCCTTCTCAAATAAATAAATAAATAGTAAAAAATTTTAAAAAAGCAGCTGTAACTGAACTATTTAAAGGAGTTGCATGTGTGGCTTATCATCAGTGGTGACTGTTAAAAAGTTGGAACCCTTTTCAAAATTGTACCTCTTTTCTGTTTGACATTCTTAGGCTTTTTCAAGGATGGAACAATACAAAGTTTTCTATAGTGCTGCCAAGAATGGGTCTTTGAGTGCTGATGATTTAATTCATCTTCAGCGTGCTAAGGCCATCCTCTTCTGAAGGAAGAAATGAGGGGTAATGTAACATCTGAACCCCTCATCAAAAAAGATGGGAAAATATCACTTCTCCTGGCTAAAGAACTAAAAAAGTTGGTATTTTCAAAAGAAGAAACACCTCAATTCAAGTAAACTCAAGGACAACTAAGATTGTACTTCATAGTAAAGAACAAGACCTTGTCAGGGTAACAACACACTCTTACACTATTCTGTCCTGTTTAATGTAAAAGGAGTTGTAAAAACCACTCCAAAGTGAAGACTCCTTCTGCCCACGCACAGATATTTGCTTAGTATGTGGGCTAATAGCTGTGATCTATGTGAGACTTTTAAAACAATAGCTTAACTTTTTAGATTTTAAAGATAACTTTTCTGTTTATGTTTTCTCTTTTCCCCAATATTGCTGCATTTGGAATCAGTGCAGTATCACTGTTAAAACATGGGAGTCTAACAACTCCTAAAGCCACTAGGAGCAGACCCAGAATTGTCAGGTATGGAAGGGCTCTTCCTTCCTACTTTTAGCAGTAACTACTAGTTACTGGTGATTATCAAGCAAAAGTTACCAGATAACATTTGCCATTCACATCCTGTGTAAGCCCTTCTTATTAGCAGTTTAGCATGTTTGGGGTCATAAAAAGAGAAAATATTGGTTATTGATTATCTACTTTTATGAAGGTCTGTGGTGTATTTCTTGTGAACTATAATGGTTCTCATTTGCTGATAAATTTCCTTATTGTCAAGTAAATGTATTCAAAGATGATTTCATAGTGCCAAGCAACATGATGATCCAGTGGTAATGTAAAAATAATAAAATATGAGGTGTCCTGAAAGTTTTGGGGCAGTTTTTAGCTTTAATATAGTGTGCCTGGGCCCTCGAGAAGTCTACAGCATATATGTACATGCTGTAAATATTTACAAAATATCATTTGGAAGTGTAATTGTATTCCTTCTTTTTATTTTTAATAGATGGTGTCTCACTATATTGCCCAAGCTACAGTGCAATCAGAGACACAATCATAGCGCACCACAGCCTGAAAACCCTGGCCTCAAGCAATCTTCCCATGTCAGTCTACCAGGTAGCTGGGACCATAGGTGTGTACCACCGCCTCTAGGTTTATTTTGCAGAATTTGAATGTTAAGCTTTTAACTTTTTGTTTCAGTCAATATCTGCTATCTTCAAGAAGGGCTGAAATGAAAAATCAAAAGCTTAATATTCAGGAGCTAGGCATGCTTGTAGTCCCAGCTACTCACAAGTCATAAATGGGAGAATCACTTGAGGCTCAGCCTTGGAGGCTGCAGTGCGCTGTGATTGTGCCTGTAAGTAGCCATTGCACTCCAGCCTTGACAACATAATGAGACCCTGTCACTTTAAAAAATGACAAAACTAAATAAACATAAAAGAAATAGAAGTTTTTCAATGATGTTTGTAAATGTTTGTAGCATTGTTACTTCTACAAGTATCAAAGCTTAAAATTACACTAAGAATTTTGGAATTCTTGTGTTTTACTTTTCTCTTGTACAGTAGCTCTTTGCAGGGCTTTTATCTACATTGATCATCTCAAATTATTTTCCCTAGATATGATAAAGAGTAGGATATGTGTTAATTCACATGTAACTAATTAGAAGGAATTGGACCCTAACAGCAGTAGGTGATGTAATACATTTTATTATCCCACGTGTTAACCTGGGTGCAGGTATCATATTTCATGTCCTGCTATTTAAAAAGAACGTCCATAAGCCTTAGGAACCCCACCTCCTGAAAAAGTATCATTTATGGAATGCAGAGCTTAGAGATTGAAGTATTGATTGCAGTTTTATTTTCAAAAGATAAATGCTACAATTTATGTGGTTTTCATTTCTCATGTTTATATTAAAAGAAAACCTAGTAAACTATTTAATTATAATGTGGCAAGTGTGTTTATAACACTTCTATTCACATAGTGTTCTCTCTGCCTAACTTAAATGGTTTAAATCAGTCTTGATATGTCTTAAAGCATTTTTGTAAGTTGCCTTGACCATACACAAGTTGAAGATGTAATATTTGTGTTCTCTTTTTTTTTTTTCTTTTTTTTTGAGACAGAGCCTAGCTCTGTTGCCCAGGCTGGAGTGCAGTGGCATGATCTCGGCTCACTGCAACCTCTGCCTGCTGGGTTTAAGCAATTCTCCTGCCTCAGCCTCCTGAGTGGCTGGGACTACAGGCGCATGCCGCCACACCCGGCTAATTTTTTGTGTTTTAGTAGAGACCGGGTTTCACTGTGTTGCCCAGGCTAGTCTCAAACTCCTGACCTCAGGCAGTCCACCCGCCAGGGCCTCCCAAAGTTCTAGGATTACAGGCGTGAGCCACCATGCCCGGCCTTCAAGTTTAAGATAATTTATTACACTTAAAATAACACTTTGGCCACAATACTTAGTGGCATAGTGCATTAGATGGCATCTTTGAATAGTTGATTATTGTGTCTGAGAGGAAAAACACATTAGAATATGAAATTAGGTAAATACACCAAAGAGAAAGGATTTCCAGGAATAGTGTAGAATTAGAATGAGGGTGTTTGAAGTTTTGAGTTACACAGAAAAAAAAAATGGAAGTACAGAAAGTGGAATTAAAGTTGCTGTGCAGAGGGTGACTTAAACCACATAATTTGACTTTAGCATACTGTTTTCAAGCTTACATTTTAGTTAAAAATAAATGACTGGTTTTTTGGGTTTTTTTAGAATTAAAATTCTAGCCATACAGCTTCAGTGATTCTCACTAAATCCTGATAATATTGGTATATTTTTATTCATTTTAATTATTTAGTACCTAAGGTAAAATCTTCAACTCATCACCATATCTTGATAAATTGCAAACTAGAATCAATGATCTGTATTAAACTTAGAAGAAAAAGTATATGATGAATCCTTGTTTATAAGATGGTTTGCACCTTATAATATGCCATTAACTAAGTAGAAGTACTGACATCTATAAGTGGTCAAAGATTTAAAAACCAGTTTGGCAGAGGGACACTGGACATAAATTCATGACTTCAAGAGTAAGTCAGGGTTGCGCGCAGTGGCTCAGGCCTGTGATCCCAGCAGTTTGGGAGGCTGAGGTGGGCAGATCACTTGAACCCAGCAGTTCAAGACCAGCCTGGCCAACATGGCAAAACCCCTTCTCTACTAAAAATACAAAAATTAGCCAAGCATGGTGGCAACTGCTTATGGTCCTAGCTCCTCGGGAGACTGAAGCACGAGAATTGCTTGAGCCTGGGAGGCAGAGGTTGCAGTGAGCCATGATCATGCTTGCACTCCAGCCTGAGCGACTTTGTCTCAAAAAAAAAAAAAAAAAAAAAAAAAAAGAGTAAATCAATAGAATAAGGAACACTAACATTATTCTCTCCTTTGGCTTGAATTCTAGAAGGGAATATAGTCATTTAGATAAATGAAAAATTGGGTCAGCTTAGAATAAGAATATAAATGTCACTGAGTGGGCAGGTTCTCCAACAAATGTCATGGGGCATGGAAACTAAGTTGCTAGTAGGTGGTAATTATGGCAGTTTTCTTAGAGTTTGATACCTGGGAAAGATTAGTTCTTTAACATATGACTATGAAAAGGATTATCTGAGTACCAAAGCTCTAATTTACTTTCACTCTTTGGGTTATTTTAACATTCGTAATACAGACATGAGTGAAATTTTACTCTGGTAGAGCGTGAACTAACACTTCACATCTTCATTACAAGGAAAAGACAAAGATCTGAAATATGTATTTGTAGCACAAAAGCAGTTGCCTATTGGCAGTTTTATACAGTTCATTCTGAGATGAACTATCTAATCTTAGGGCTCAGTGTTTCTAGAGAAATTTTATTCTGGTCTTTTATTCACATTTTCTTTTTATGTAACCTAGATGCCCATACATTACTGAAATCAAACAACACTAAATCCTGATTTTACTACAACTCAAGGTTCAGTTTTTTGATGTAGTTTTCCCACATTTCCAAATACACTATTCCTTGGTTTAAAAAAAACATGCCAAAGCCAATCTTAACCAAAAACCAAATTACTCTTGATTCTGTATTCAGGTTATGCAGTGTTTCCAGAAACTGATTTTGCTGCAGTGTGCTGGTTAGCTAGAATCTTTCATCACCCCAGTCCTTTCCCTAACCACATTTAAGATTTCTGTGGCTTCATTTTTTCCTCACACAGCATCCTTGAATATGGAACTATATCTTTGACAGCTGGCAGAGAAATTTCCCAGGTAAGTGCTAGTTTCTATGCAAATTTGTAGAGAACACCCAGAATCTATCAAGTTAAGGATTAGATGACCTTAAGTCTAACTGCCACTTATTTACCCAGTTGGGCCCAACATTGTGCCAGCAAGCAATGCAAAAGATCTAGGAGCCCTTCACTGAAACCTGCCCCCTACAACACAGGTTTCTAAGGCAATTTCTACTGAACTCCTTTTTTTTTTTTTTGAGATGGAGTCTAGCTCTGTTGCCGAGGCTGGAGTGCAGTGGCGCAATCTCAGCTCACTGCAACCTCCACCTCTCAGGTTCAAGCGCTTCTCCTGCCTCAGCTTCCCAAGTAGCTGGGATTACAGGTGCCTGCCGCCATGCCCAGCTAATTTTTGTATTTTTGGTAGAGACAGAGTTTCACCATATTGGCCAGGCTGGTCTTGAACTCCTGACCTTGTGATCCGTCCACCTCGGCCTCCCAAAGTGCTGGAATTACAGGTATGAGCCACTGCGCCTTGTGACTATTGAACTCTTTTAAATACATTTGGCAAGTGACAGAACATGTACATAATGTGAAATTTAAGGAATATCAGCTTGTGGTTTAGGATTTCTAGGGTACAGAAAGAACAACTAACTGGGAAAGAAAAATGGTATAGATATTATAAGAATCTTGAGTCCAGTGAAAAATGGTTAACATTCTTTAAAAAGGAACAGGTTAGATGACTCTTATAATTGGTGTAAGAGAAGCTGAGCAATTGGACTGTGATTAGGAAAACTCAGTGATAGTCCCAGAACCTAAGGTCTTTAATAAAATATGAGTGGTATCTCCTTCAAAAGACCTCCATGGATTCCCAAAATAAGCTGCTTGCTTCTTTAAAAAAATATATTGCTTCATCTTCACCGTCTCAATTCTACAAAACTTTACCTGTCACCTCAAGCTGGTCACTCCTATGTCTCTTCAGTGTGAAAACCGAATCACAAGCAGAGCTTCAAGTGTGTTATGCACCTCTTCTTCCAGCCTGTTTCACCCAAGACCCTTAGAACCCTCCTCAAACAAAATCGATTATCCCAGCCTCACCCTTGCCTTTTCTGCTACTTTCCAATGTGGCAGTGCTTGATGTCTGTCATCATGACCCAGTGCCAAAGCGTTAGCACCAGGTTCTGGAACATGCAGGTTGTATGTAGCTTGCAAGCTAACTGACCCCTTGTGATTCCCTTTATGTGAGCCCTCTGTGTGCGTTCTCTGAAACACCTGATTTGCAACCAATTTGCTGCACTTGCTGATTCTGACCTACTCACAACCTTAATCATGTATTCTCAATCTAGCCTGAGGATGAGGTTGTACCCCTTCCTTCCAAAACCTGTTTTCTTTGGCATTAATGCCTTGTTCTGAAGGTAACCCCCTCTCATCTAATGGAGAGGATTCCATCTCTACCTCTAAAATCAGCCTTCTATAGTCATCTCCTCCACCAATTCTCCTCTTCAAAATTGTATTTCACCTCCCCAAACTGGGGATGCAGCAAATTTGGTTCATTCCTCTAAAGGTCCCAGTGTTTTTCAAGACGTGATCCCCACCCACCTCCCTCTCATCAGCTGAAAGACCTTGTGAAAAATGCAGCTTCTCTAAATGCAGCATAGTATCCTCGATTTGATCCTGTGACAGATAAAGAACATGAGTGGAAAACCTGATGAAGTCTGGAGTTAGTAGTAATGTGCCAACATTGATTTTTTAGTTTTAACAAATGTACCATGTCAATACAAGATGTTCACATTAGTGGGGAACTGGCAAGGGCATACAGAAACTGAGTTATTTTGGTGACTTTTTAAAGTTTCTTTTTATAAAATAGCCTTTTGGGCCCCAGAACTAATGAATCTTAATTCCTGGTACTGAGGCCTGGGAATCTAAAATTGTAACACATATCCTAAATGATTCTTAGATTCCAATTGAAATCCTTGTCTTGTCAATTTCCTTTTATTTCTTGTCTGAACAGTTGCCTCTCCCTTGTTTCACTTATCTTAACCTGCGTTAATCTTTGAACTCTTCTGAATCCTAGGATTTAAGTACTGTTATCTGTTTTTCC